TTTCCACACATAAAAAATGATATGTGTGTATGTTGTATTTATATGTAGATCATATTTATCTACTTCTTGAAGAATGCTTAGATCCTATCTTAAAAGCTCAATGAATTTCACCGGAACCGGTCTGGCTCAATGGATAGAGTGTTGGCTTGAGGATTGCGGGGTCCCGGTTCGATTCCGGTCAAGGGCATGTACCTTGGTTGCGGGCACATCCCCAGTAGGGGGTGTGCAAGAGGCAGCTGATCAATGACTCTCTCTCATCGATGTTTCTAACTATCTCTCTCCCTTCCTCTCTGTACAAAATCAATGAAATATTAAAAAAAAAAAAAAAGAAAAGCTCAATGAATTTCAAGATAGGCAAAAAAATAAATGGTTTTGTTCACTTCTGGTTAGCTTTACATGTTTTTAGTAGTATTCATCTGTTTATGTCCTACAAATCCCCCAATCTTTATCCTCCTTCTCAAGCCCTCAATCTCACTGCCTATGTTTCTGAGAAGCTGGGTGGAGGCCATTTGATATAAGCTGTCTCAATTCCAAGCCTCTCCATCTCAATATGAGCTACCTTCTCATGAGATTCCCTCTCAGAAATAATCAACTACTTTTCCAAGAAAATCCTTTCACCTGGAACCTTGAGCCAATCCCATCCCAACTGTCACTGCATATATCAATTTATCTTCATAACCTTATGAAGTCGATACTATTATAAATCCCTCACTCATTATTTCCTCATCTATAAAATGGGGATAAATGACTTGCCCAAAATTATTTGGCATTAAGCAACAAAGACAGAACTAAAATCTGGGTTTTCCCTTTCCAAAGATATTATAATTTTCTAATCATCTTGCTCTCACATCAGTACTAACTTCTCCAGTGGCTTATATCTCCATTCTCTCAAATCCCTCCTTCACAATCCACCTCCAAAATCCCTACAAATTTCAGTATTATCCCCCTACAATTTTCATCTCATGGAATTTAGTAAAGTATGGCATAGAAGTAAAAGCATACGTTTGTAATCATATAGATGTATAAATTCTGGCTCCATCAAGTTCTAGTCTGTAACCTTAGAGTAAATAATTTCTCAGTGAACCTGTTTCACCAAATGTAATTGATCATAATACTATTTTGTTTTGTCTTCACAGTTAAATTTTATTGTTTTAACATAAGGCAATGTGGCCAAGGGCTAAGAAAATGAGGCTTTTGAGCCAGAGTGATGGATCTTGAATCCTGGCTCAATAGTTACAAGTTATTTGATTTCAAGCAAGACATATATTCATTCCGTGCCCCAATTTCCTCATCTGTAAAATGGGTAAGATAATACTACCAACCTCACAGGGTTGTTATGAACTTTAAATGAAGTGATACTTATTGAATGCCTAGCAGTGTCTAATACATTGTACTGCTCAATAATCATTACCTATTAAGTCACTAGATTGTAAGTGCTTTGTGGGCAGGGGTGACTCACCTATGTATTTCCCATAACTTACACATCAAAGGCACTTAATATTTATTAATGAATCACATTAATTGAGCACAGGACTCTGGATGCTGTAAGTTTAAGGCAAAGTAAATATTTTTGCCCCTGTCTTGCTTTTTATACCTTCTGTAAGTACTCTGCAGTGAATGATCACTTTTCAGACTTAATTGACTACCTTGACAATTTTTACTACTCCTGACTCACTTTTAAGCTTCGTAAGCAAAGTATCCCAATGAACAAAACACTTGGGTGCTTTGACATTATAGAAACTAACCGCACTGACAATTTAATACATTTTTAAATCTTGCTTCTCAAAAACATAAAGGAGAGACTTATTTTAAAAAGCATTTCCCTAGGACTTAGGTAGATAAACAGACATCACAGAAATAAAATCATCAGTGGGCTAAATTTTAAAGGTCTGGACATTCCTAGAGTAAAAAGCCTTTTTACCTGGAAATCAAACTGAAAATGAAAGGTATTAAAATCATATATTACCATAATAGCCAGGATGGTATAAGAGTCGTAAGAAAAGGTAAATAGCAGACAGTAATTATAATAGGATTAGAAAACCTCACTTTCCATGGCATTGAAACTACTTTGACTCAATCTTATCTATTCTCAAACCGGATTTGGGAATTACTCAGGAAATTGTTCCTCCACAATACCCACAGTCTATAGTAAAAAAATGGAAAGGCTAAAGAATGCCAATTCCAACTGGCATGGTTCAGTGATTGTTGACCTATGAACCAGGAGGTCATGGGTCAATTCCGGGTAGTCAGGGCACATGCCCGGGTTGGAGGTTTGATCCCCAGTATGGGGTGTGCAGGAGGCAGCCGATCACTGATTCTCTCTTATCATTGATGTTTCTCTCCTCCCTTCCTCTCTGAAACCAATAAAAATATATTTTAAAAAAAGAATGCCAAGTTGTGGCAAATCAACTACTTTCCCACTTTAAATTCCATAAGAGATATCCTTGTTTTTCCTTCACAAAATACTAACACTCAGGTGTCCCATTCTTTTTTATTAACTTAGAAATCAGAAACATCAGGAAATGCAATTAGTAATCCCACTTTTTTACTTCAGCTCAAGAAGTAGGATAATTATATCAAAGAGCAAATATATTCAAGGCAATTCTAAGTCTCTATTTGATTTTTTTTTTAAATACAGTTGCCTGGCCAGTGTGGTGCAGTGGTTAAGCGTTGGCCTATGAACCAGGAGGTTGCAGTTTGATTTCCAATTAGGGCCTATGTCCAGTTTGCAAGGTCGATCCCCAGTGTGGGGTGTGCTAGAGGCAGCCAGTCATTGATTCTTTCTCATCATTGATATTTCTATCTCTCCCTCCCCTTCCTCTCTAAAATCAATAAAAATATATTTTAAAAATATTGTTTGCCTCTTAATTTATAAGACTGAGCAATTAAAACAACAGTTCTGAGCCTAACCTGAAAAAAATGCAAACTTTAACAGCAATAATAATAGAATCATAGCTATAATTTATTGAGTAGTTACTTAGGAGTCAGGTACTAAATTAAAAACATTTCTTCCTCACAATAATCCTACCATCATTGTTCCTGATTTATAGATGACACTGTAGAAGGGCAAGGGACTTGCCTAAGACCACAAAGAACTATTGGAGCATGGGACAGTAACCCAGGTCTGATTCTAAAGCAGGGGCTGGCAAACTACAGTGTCATTCTGTTTTTATATGACCCAAAAGCTAAGAATGATTTTAACTTTCTTAAAGGTTTGTGAAAAGGAGTAGGAGGAGAAAGAGAGAAGAAGGAGAAGAAAAAGCTGCAACAGAGACACAGAGATCTATGTGAAACAGAGCTGACAATACTATCTGGACTTTTACAGAAAAAAAACCTACACATGTCTGGTCTAAAGCTTTGTACCTTTAACCACTATGTCACACTGTTTCTTATTGGAAGAGGTTTCTATGATGAGTTCCTTATTGTAGCACCATACTCTCATTTGTCATTTAATCAAATTTAAGATGCAATTATTTTCTTTATATGACCTACCCAACAAGGGTTAAGTTCCTTGGAGGTAGGGATCTTATATTCCTTTGTATTTCTGTGCCTAAAATGCTTTTTCAGGGTAGTAAATAAAGCATACAGTGTTTTCCAGAGAAATTATATAGAGATGCACATAGCTTATCCAGCCAATTTAGCTTAAGGGGTGCTACAAATAAAATGCAAAAAAAAAAAAAAAAAAAGAGTATGAAAACCATCTAAGATATCTAAAAATTAAGAATCCTAGGAAGCAGAGATATTTTGCACACAGGCTTAGAATTGTATTATCTTACAAAGGAAAAATAGACCTGAGTTCACACATTTTCTTGATGCACACAGCTATATTTCTTTGCTTCCCTTGAGATACACATTCCAGAAGTCTGTATTTACTGAGAAAGAGTGTATGGGGTTGTATGCATAGGGAAATATCTTTTTATGTCAAGGCTTCTTCTATCTTTATGCAAGTCTGAGAAATGAAGTTCAAAAGCTCATCAGTTTAAGCCTGTTCCCAATGAAGGTAATATTCACTCATATACCGCACAGGAAGAATCGTTTGTCCTCCAGAATCTCTTTGGCCACATACACCCTCCTAGGCATCATAGCTTAAAACAGCAATATACATCTTTTCCTCTCATGAGGCCCCAGCACAGGACAAAATGCTCTATGCCCATGGTTTGATTTTGCCATCTCCCCTCAGGACCAAAAAATATAAATAAATAACCTCAAGAAAAAGCATACCAAGACACAAGAACTGAAGCCATTTACTCAATAGTCTGTCAAAATAACCTTATGCCACCAGCAAATCACACTGCATGTGTGTGGAGTTCCTAATTACTGTTTGTCTTAACTGTCCTTATCATCCTATAGTACAACACACTGCTGGAAGATCTTTAACTCTTCCTTGTGTTCCTCTCGGTATGCTTGAATTGAAAGGGTAAACCATACATCTATGCATATCAGATTTTGCAAACGTAGTACAAAATGCCTAAGCCCTCTTTAGCTTATTTAACGGTTCGGTTTTTACTGGGGCTACAGGGTAGTAAAAGGTCTTCAATTTCCATCACGAAAGGACAGGGGGTAGCAATAACTGGGTGATGGGTAAAGGTGGACTCTGACTCCAAAACAACACCAGGTTCCGAGCAGTAGAGATATGGTTGCAGCTTCAATGGACTCTAAACAAACCGCCGACCTAGGAGTAAAGGATCCCTAGGAGGTCTTCCCCTCCCCCAGTCCCCAACCCAATCAGAGACACCGAACCCACTCCCTTCCAGTCCCCAGTCCCAGGTCCCCAGCTTGGGAGGTAGAGGCAGGGGGGTGCAGAAGAAAAAGGGGTGGGGTCAGAGGGAAAAATATGTGGACAGGCGGAGGAAAGGGCGGTGCGAGGCAGGCAAAATGGGGTGTGAGGCTGAGGAGGAAATGGGGTGAGGCAGAGAAACAGGGAGCACAGCAGAAAAAAAAGGGATCGAGAAAGAGAATCAGGGATTGGGGGAAGGGGAGAGGCAAAAAAACGGAAGGAATTAGAACTCCACATAGGCCCAGCAGGACCGGGGGAGACCAGGCTGCCAGCGGGCGGCCACGGGGATGAGGCACTTGCCATAAATCATTGCCAGGCCGGTTTCGTGAAGGAAGCGGGCCCGGCGGTGCTTGAAGAGCCAGATCGTGAGAATGGTGAGGGTGAGCAGCAAGATGAAGATGAGCAGATTGGCGCTGTCCTGCCGGTGGCTCTCCTCAGCTTGCTTCTCGGACACGATCTCCTCATCCATGGCTCTCACCACTCGGCCGGCGCCGTCCGAAGCCCTGGCCCAGCCAAAGACGCCCAGCGAGAGGAGCAACCAGAGAGGCCCAGAGAGCCTGCGGGCCCGGGGGCCGTTGCTGCCAACACTCCGGGGTAGGGTGGAACGCAGCCAACCTCGCGGAGCCATGATGCCCCCCGCCCCCCACCCCACTCCTCTACCCGTCGCCGCCAGAAGTCCGACCACTCCCCTAGGCCTCACGGGAAGGGGGCGGGACCGCGAGGAAACTGGAGGAGCGCGCGCTGCTGCCGCCGCCGCCGCCGCCGGCGCCGCCGCCACCGTTGCCACTGCCACCGCCCCTGCCTCCCTTAAAGGGACCGCGACACTCACAGCTCGCTCTGCTAGGTCCCTTCGCCCTCTGTCCACCAGCTCCTCCCAGCACGACACACGGACACTAGGGCGCTGCCAGGGAAGGAAAGGCCTTCGAATCTAGCCCACCGCCTTCTGGAAAAGAAACCTCCATTCAGTGTAGTCAAAAGGTGGCAGATTGGACTAGGCCTGCTTTGATCCTATTGGAGCTCTCAGGGGAATGGATCTTTCAAAACTCATCTCAGGGTCCCCCAGGGTCTCTTAACAATATAAGAAGTTGTGTCCTTGGGAGTGGCCTAAATCTCTGTCATTTAAATCGGATTCTCCTTTTTCTGTCCTCATTGAAAAACACTGTAGTAGTCCATAAAATAATGAACTCAAAGGCAAGGATTATGCATGTATGTAAGTTCTATTTCTTTTCATATAAACAGCTGACATAATTCATCTCTCACATTGGAAACCTCTGTAGAGAAACTCATCAATCTCACAAAGAAGATTCATTCAGTTTGTGCTTAAATTTACCCATGCTCCAAACAATCCCTTTCCTTCCCCAAGAAATCTTGTGGTGTGGCCTGGTCTCTCCATCTCCTCTTGCTCCTTTTTCCTGCTATTTTAAAAAATTTTTAAATTGTATTTATTCAATTACAGTTTACATTCAATATTATTTTGTATTACTTCCAGGTGTACAGCATAGTGGTTAGACAATCATATGCTTTACAAATAATTCCAGTAGCTGCCAGGTACCATACTTCATTATTAAAATATGATTGATTATATTTTCTATGCTGTACTTCACATCCCCATGATTATTTTTTAACTACCACCTGTACTTCTCAAACCCTTCATTTTTTTCATCCAGTTCCCCACCCCCCACCCCACCACTCCACCCCTGTACTTCTGGCTTAGTATGTGCTTTATCTTTGAGTCTATTTCTGATTTATTTGTTCATGTATATTGTTCTTCAAATTCCACACATAAGTGAAATTACATGATATTTGTCTTTCACTGTTTGGCTTATTTCATTTAGTATAATACCTTCTCATTCCATCAATACTGTTCCAAATGGAAATATTTCACTATTTTTTATGGCTGAGTAATATTTCACTATATATTCATACCACTACTTTTTTTTTTTGTCATCTATTGATGACATAGCTTGGCTATTGCAAATAACACTGCAATGAACATAGAGGTGCATATTTTTCTCCGAATTAGTGTTTTGGGTTTCTTAGTATATAATACCCATAAGTGGAATCACTGGGTCATAAGGAAGTTCCATTTTTAATTGTTGGAGAAACCTCCATATTTTTTTTTTCCATAGTGGCTGCACAAATCTGCATTCCCACCAACAGTGCTCAAGGGTTCCATTTTCTCCATATTCTCACCAACACTTGTTGTTTGTTGACTTATCAATAACAGTCATTTTCAGCTATGAGGTGATATCTTATTGTGGTTTTAATTTGCATTTCTCTGATTAATGACATTGAGCATCTTTTCATGTCTTTTGGCCATCTGCATGTCCTCTTTGGAGAAGTGTCTATTAAAGTCCTTTGTACATTTTTAAATTGGATTGTTTGTTTTCTTGGTGTTGAGATGTATGAGTTCTTTAAAAATTGAAGATATTGGGCCCAGCCAGCATAGCTCAGTGGTTGAGTCAACCTATGAATCATGAGGTCACAGTTTGAGTCCCATTCAGGGCACTGGGCTTGAGCCCCAGTGTGGAGTGTGCAGGAGGCAGCCAATCTATGATTCTCTCACATCACTGATGCTTCTATCTCTCCTTCTCCCTTCCTCTCTGAAAACAATAAAGATATATTTTTTTAAATAAATAGATTTTTAAAATAAAATTAATAAAAAAACATATCCTCAGGTGAGGATTTAAAATAATAATCCTATATAATAAAGAAGTAATCTGCAAATTGACCGTCACACCCTTGCACAAGATGGCCACCCCCATGTGGTCACAAGATGGCTGGCAGGGGAGGGCAGTTGTGGGCGATCAGGCCAGCAGGGGAGGGCAGTTGGGGGTGACCAGGCCAGCAGGGGGCAACCGGGCCTGCAGGAGAGGGAGGACAGTTATGGGGGACCAGGCCAGCAGGGGAGGGCAGTTGCAGGGAGACTGGACCTGCTGAGTTGGGGGGAGACTGGGCCTGCAGGGGAGGGCAGTTGGGGGCAACTGCGCTGGCAGGGGAGTAGTTAGGCATCAATCAAGCTGGCAGGGGAGTGGTTACGGGCAATCAGGCAGGCAGGCAGGCAGGCAAGTGGTTGGGAGCCAGCAGTCCTGGATTATGAGAGGGATGTCTGATTGCTAGTTTAGGACAGGGATTGGGCCTAAACTGGCAGTCGGACATTCACTGAGGGGTCCCAGATTGGAGAGGGTGCAGGCTGGGCTGAGGGACAACCCTCCTCCCCCCCATCCAGTGCACAAATTTCTTTTTTTTTTAAAATATATTTTATTGATTTTTTACAGAGAGGAAGAGAGAGGGATAGAGAGTTGAAAACATCGATGAGAGAGAATCATCGATCAGCTGCCTCTTGCACACCCCCTACTGGGGATGTGCCCGCAACCAAGGTATATGCCCTTGACTGGAATCAAACCCAGGACCTTTCAGTCTGTAGGCCGACGCTGTATCCACTGAGCCAAACCGGTTTTGGCAAGTGCACAAATTTCATATACCAGGCCTCTGGTAATAAATAAATAAATAAATAAATAAATAAATAGTGGATATTGCTCTAGCTGGTTTTGCTCAGTGGACAAAGTCAGCCTGCAGACTGGAGGGTCCTGGGTTTGATTCCAGTCAAGGGCACATACCCGGATTGTGGGCTAGATCCCAAGCTGGGGGCATGCAGGAAGCAGGCGATCAATGATTCTCCTCATTGATGTTTCTATCTCTCTATCTTACTCTCCCTTTCTCTCTGAGATCAATAAAATATATATATTAAAATAATAATAAATTGTAATAATAATAATTATAAATGATGATAGAGCCCACAATCCTTCTCAGATGTATCATTGGAGAAAATTATCTCTCATTCAGTGAGTTGTCTTTTTCTTTTGTTCATGGTTTCCTTTGCTGTGCAGAATATTTTTACTTTGATGTAGTCCCATATGTTTATTTTTTCTTTTGTTTTCCTTGGCCGAGGAGATATATCAGGGGAAAAAATATTACTAAGAGAAATGTCCAAAATTTTGTCTGTTTTCTTCTAAGAATTTTACAGTTTTGAGTCTTATATTTAAGTCTTTAATCCATTTAAAGTTTATTCTTGTATATGGTATAAGAAAGTGGGTTAATTTCATTGTTTTTGCATTTATCTGTCCAATATTCTCAATACCATTTATTAAATAGACTGTCTTTACCCCCATTCTATTTCTTATCTGCTTTGTAAAATATTAATCATACAGTCTTGGGTTTATATCTGGGCTCTCTGTTCTGTTCCATTGATCCATATGTGTTTTTTTTTTTTTTTTTTTTATGCCAGTACCATGCTGTTTTGATTACTATAGCCTTGTAGTATACCAGGTAGGGTGATACCTCCAACTTTGTTCTTTTTTAAGATTGTGGAGGCCATTCAGGGTCTTTTGTGGTTCCATATAAATTTTGGACTATTTTGTTCTAGTTCTATGAAATAAGCCATTGATATTTTGATAGGAATTGTGTTAAGTCTATAGATTGCTGTGGGTAGTATGGATATTTTAACAATGTTAACTCTTCCTATCCATGACCACAGTATGTGCATCCATTTATTTGTATCCTCTTTAATTTCTTTCTTTAGTGTGTTATAGTTTTCCAAGTATAGGTCTTTTACCTCCTTGGTTAAACTTACTCCTAAGTATTTTATTTTTTGATGCAATTGTAAATGGGACTGTTGTCTTAGTTTCCCTTTCTGAAAGTTCATTATTGCTGTATAAAAATGCAACCAATTTCTGGATATTTATTTTGTATCCTGACACTACTAAATTTATTGATCACTTCTAGTAGTGTTTTGGTGGAATCTTTAGGGTTATATATATATACAATGAGTATCATGCCAATAATGACAGTTTTACTTCTTCCTTTTCCATTTGGATGCCTTTTATTTTTTTGTCTTGTCTGATTGCTGTGGCTAGTATTTCCAGTACTATGTTGAATAAGAGTGGGGAAAGTGAACATCCCTGTCTTATTCCTAATCTTAAGAGTAATGCTTTTGGTTTTCCCCCATTGAGTATGATGTTTTCTGCGGACTTGTCATGTATGACCTTTATTATGTTGAAATATGCTCACTCTATTGCCACTTTGCTGATAGTTTTAATCATAAATGAGTTTCCTGCTCTCTTAAAGCTAATTTTCCCAGTTCATATGTGTTGACTGTGAAAAAGAACATAACTACCTAGGATTCCTGGTGGCTAACTGGGCTCAAATTTGAAAACAGAGGGAGGGAGGGATGGTAGGAAGGAGTGGGGGAGTGGGTGAGAGAGAAACATAAATGATGAGAGAGAATCATGGATCAGCTGTCTCCTGCACGCCCCCTACTGGGGTTAGAGCCCACAACCCAGGCATGTACACTGACTGGGAATGGAACCATGACTTCCTGGTGCATGGGTCAATGCTCAACCACTGAATCACAGCAGCTGGGCAAAAATGTTTTTAAATGAGTTCATTATTTCATCCTACAAACATGTATTATTTCACAAAGATTTTATACTACTATTGGTACTACTATCAATCTAATTCCTATCATTCTGCCTGGAACTCATGATTCTCAAACATTTCATCTCATGAAAATATAACCTCTTGCCTAAAACAAGTAACATTCAGGCAATCCTAAGCTGCCCTGGTGTA